GAGTTTGGAGCCGGGGGAGTGGCATCCAATTTCGCCCCGGGACATTTGCCACGTGCGTGCTCCATTTCTGCTCCTCAGTGGGCATTTCTTTTGCTCTTACGCTTTTTTTTTTCTTTTTTTTGGGCCAAAAGGTGCCAATGTGGCAAATGTTTTGTGCTTAACATTTTTATGGCTGCCATAAGTTGGCCAGAGTGTGGTAAATGCAGGCAGCCATTGCCAGTGCCACTGCCACTGGCCAGAAGCCACTGACCGCAGGCCCGAACCTATGGCAAACTGGAACCGGATCGTGTCTTGACACTTGAGGTATCGGTTTCATTAGCGAAATGTTTCCGTAAGAATGCCAAAAGGTCGCAATTGATGCCATTTACAAGGCGATTGGCAAGCCAGGGAACATATATACTTATATGTGGCAGCAGGAGGAGGATCCACCTTCAGTTATTAGTCGCGTGTATTGGATTTCCTGGCTCTTATCCTGGCCGGAGATCACGAGCGATTTGTTTTGGTCGCAGCGGCTCTATAAATTTATCAAATTGAAAAATGCGCAATCGAAATCAAATCAAAGCGAACTGTGAACTGAAACTGAACGGGCTCCAAAGGAGTGTGTTGACTTTTATGGAATTGGGAATTGTGTGGGGAAACAATTCGGCAAATCGCTTTGCAATCAGCAGCTTTGGACTTAGCCCAGCCCAGTAACATGCCTCTAATCCCTGTTGCCTATAGGCACTTAAAGAAAAAAAGAGGTACTCAAAAGTATATTGAAGAAATTAAAAGAAATTGAAGGGTTTAGTTGTGATTTTTATCTTTTATTATAAAGAATTTGAGGATGTGTTTCCCTTCTGCTTAGTGTATCATACCTTTAAATACAATTTAAGCTATTCATTTCGAAGCTGATTTCTTTTTTCTTGGTGCAAGAGTATCGCGTACAAACGACTTGTGACAAAATGACGAAATTTATGTTACTTTTTTGCATCGGCAAAGTGCAAACCGTTGCAGCTTTTGGCTCTCCAAAGGGGCGGGCAGGTGGGCAGTCTGTCAGCAACAAATGCAAAGCGCCAAAAACTGCGACACTTTGTATAAATTGTGTTGAAAACAGCAGCAGCAGCAGCAGTAACAGGGGCAGCAGCAGGGGCAAGCAACAGCGGCAAGCGGAGGCTGTGGAAAACTCCGTCTGTCCAAGGCAATTTCGGGCTGAAACGCGACTGGCGATCGGTGCTGGCCACACCCCCTTCGGGCAAATGCAACAAATTATTGTCATCAATTTTTAGATGCAAAGCTTGAGGAGTGACATTTATTGAAGCATAGTTGGAGCAGCAGTTGGAGCTCCAGTTCGAAGCAGGGGCCGCTGGCCAGGCTCCGTTCGGGTCCAGGACGTGATTGCTCCATATTGCAGGCGGCTGGTAATGTTGATGATGATTATAGGCACGGTCCGGCATGGTTTGCAGCATTCTACACTAAGAGAAAAATTAGTTAAAAGCCTTAACGAACCATTAAGCTTAAAGGAAGAACGTATACTAAAAACCTTCAGTTATTAAGAAAATTATTTAATCTTTGTTGTAATCGAAGCATTATAAACTTTTGCCAGTGTACCTCTATTTAGTCTGTTCCTGGACAGTAAGGAGTGACACGTTCGCCTCTGATTGCTAGGAAACGAAGGCAACAAGTGGCCATCGGCTGGCCATCCACTTAAATGAGTTTCTGGCTGGCAGTTTTCTTGGTGCTTTTGTTTAACTTTATTAGTTTTCTACCCTTGCAGGGTATTATAAATTTATTCAGAAGTTTGCCACGCTGTGGAGGAGTCATTTCTGATCATATAAAGTATATATATTCTTGATCAGCATCAACAGATCTAGCAAAAAATTGCTCAATTGTAAAGTTATCCCTCTCTGTCTCTCTTTAACTCTAGCTTTCTCTTTTCTCTTTCTCTAACTCTCTATCTCTCTGTCTGTCCCTCTCTCGCTCTCTTTCTCTCAAATTGTTTCGGTATGTCTATCTCTCTCTGTGTATCTCTGTGTATCTCTTTCTCTGCCTTTCTCTGGAGATATCCCTTTCTCTCTCTCTCACTTTCTCTGTTCTCTTTACTCGCAGAGTATAAATAGAAGGACTGAAGTCGCACCGAACTCATTCTGTTCCCGGCCACCCGACTGTTTACATCTATGGTGATAGTGAAAGTGATTGTGATTGTGATTGCGATTGCTCTTCGATCCTAAAATTATTACCCGACTAATGCAATACATTATTTTTTCTTCTTATTTAGTTTTTCATCATTAATAATAATAATATTTTAAATAATAAAGTCCAATATGCTGCTTTCTAAATATAGAGTAAAGCATCTTTGGCTTAGTTATGATCGTTTTTGAACCCATAATCCCACAGGTAACTTTAAGGGTATACACACTTTAACTTTTCAAAGTAAGCTTCCTTTCTTGCTTTAAATATAATAGTTTATTTTGGTTTTAGTTTTCGGTTTTCAGTTTGGGGCGGCTGCCGCTTCATTAGCAGCTCGCGCGGCCCCAAAAAAAGTAAAAGCCAAAAAGTTATGACCATATTTGTGCTAAATTATGAGGCCCTTTCATAAATCAGGCAAAAACCGGGCACCGGCGACCTAGCGAAAAATGCCAAGATTATGGCTTTTGCCAATGTTTAGTGTGGCACCATTAGACCGCGCTGCCGGGCCGGGAAAACTTCAGTTCAGAAATGGTCAGCAGATGGAAATTTACATTGTGCCTGAACTGGCAGTGGACAATTGCAAGTGCTCGACTTACTTTAAACTGTGCCATTTATCATATGCGAAAAATATTTTGTCAGTCCGCTTTTGGGCCTTTTGCCGTTTGGCCATTTTCACCATTTCCATTTGGCCATCTTTCGCTTTTCAATGAGACCAGGAGACCAGAGAGCCTGGACACTGAAGAAAAAAGTGTTTCTAGTTTTAAACATGGAATTTAGTTACAAAAAAGTTTTATCCCATTCTGATTAAAGAAATATATTCCTATGAATGGAAAATATTCTTTTGTAATTTATTTAATAATAATTTTATATATCATTACTTGACCTTCTTGTGCAAGTGCATCCAGCTAGCCAAGCTGAATCTGTTGTGTGGTTGTTATGGCCGTTCCCGTCCCCAAAAAGGCTACCGTTTTGGTAACTCTTTTTTCGTGGGGGGAGCCAAAGGAAGCCAGTTACAGTTGGCTCGTGCATGTCTCGTGGCCAGCAACAATAACCAAAACAACTGGACAACAAAAAGCTCCCAAACCGTCGGATGTACGATCACTTACATTACGGTTCCAGTTGTAGATTTATACATACCCCGAATATGAGTTACTTTCCTGGGGCGGTGTCTGGCTGCGAGAGAGTGCCAAGCGAAGCGAATGGAACGGGGCCATGATCTCTGGCCGAGCATGCTAGGAAGTTGTACAGCTCAGAAACAATTACCAGGGTGCTTGGTGCCGGTGCCTGTTCCAGTTCCGCATTCAACATTCAAGTGCCAGGAGTAAGGACACTCGAGGCGAACAGCGCACATAGAACTGGGTCGGTCGACAATGAAAATGAATTACCACCTTTACGAGGCCACAAATCTTTTAGAGTTTTTCTATTGTGCCCAAAGCATTTTCAGAAAGAATCTATAGAAATCGCAACAAGAAAATTATGTTTTGAAAAACCACAATATGATCTCCTATATTTCTTTTTTGTAAAGCCATTTAAGTTAATATTTTGAGTTTTCTGTAGCACTTATAATCATAATTCTGAAGGTCAATTCTCAACCTTCTATACTTTATACAAAAAAATCCAGTTAATAAGCTCAATATCCAGTTGTCGCCATGTCTTACAAGTGGGTTAAGTGAAGTTTCTGAATTGCAAAAGATCAGTGCTTAAGAATGCTGAGCCAGGGGCACTTATGAACTTTGGGCTCTTCTCGCTAAATTGACATCGCATTCGCTGGCCAGGCAGGCCAATTAAAGACTCTACGTGACCTCCAGCCAAAAAAGAGAGAAACAAAAACCAAAACTGACGATAAAAAAGAAGAAACCAGCCCTGCCATGTTGAGCTTTCCACGCTGCCACTCTCGCGAGATACGCGGTATGTGCAGCTAATTGACCAGCCCGGGACGATGATGCACTTCATCAAAAAATATACCAAAAAAAGCGGAGGCAGAGGCCGCAACCAGAAATGACAAATCCAAAAAAGAGCCAGTGAGTGAGACTTACTCAAGTGCCAGGGCATTACGTCAACGTCAACTCAATTTGGCGGACAACAAGCTCGGAGCATGGGACACAGTCTGCTCTGCGAATGGAAACCGGAGGAGGAGGAGGAGGAGGAGGAGGAGGAGGAGGAGGGATCCCATCCCAGGAGGGGCAGATTGGTGGAGTGCGGCTGAGTGCGGGTCAAGTGCTGACGCATCAGCCAAATCCAGTGAAGTGCACCAAAACATACATATAAATGCTTGAAAAAATATAATGAGCAAAGTGGATGCTGCCAACATCATTAAGAGCGATCATCTGTCAAGCGGATCGGCATATGAATGAGATTTTTTTGCCTTTAATCAATTAAAGCATAATATTTTTGAATGTCACCAAGTTAGATACAGAATTATAAAAATTAGATTAAAATATGTCAGCACTCTTTTTATAATAAATAGAAAACTATGAAAGAACTTAGCAAATCTGATATAAAAGATTTTATTATGATCTTCCAAAGACATAAAAACTATTGTCTTGGAAATGTTTTATACTCTTTCTTTGATTTCTCAATCAATTAAATTTATATGCAGCAGCTGGTGCTGGGTTTTGATTACAATGACATTTCTAAATTTCCAGCTACTGGTCTGACTAAGTTTTTCCTCTTGGCCACTGAAACAACAATATATTGAGTTTCTAAAAGATAGGGATCAATAAAATAATAATAATATGCAAATAATTGTTTCAAGGAATTTTAAAACCTCCTCTGCAGGCTTTAAAAAGTCGCAGAGCTGTCTTCGAAGCTTTAGTATTAACGTAGAAGTCTACTCTATAATGTCTTCGTTAGTGTTTTCGATACTTCTGGTCTTTGGATCTCTATACGTCCTTGTGGCTTTTGAAATAGACAAGGCAATCTACTGCGATTTGCCACATTGTGGCATGGAAAATGTAGTTTGCCGAAAGACGGTGAGTTACAATTACAAAATCAATCATCGTTTTTTAAAGGAATTCGATTTTGACAGAACTATAGCTTTCCCTGTCAGCCCAGAGCCCGATTGGTGTCCTTGAGTAGGGATCAAAAGGAGTCGATCCTCAGCACGGTTAATAAGTTTAGGAACACTGTGGCCAGAGGTCTGACCCAAAAGCTACTTCCGGCAGGACGCATGGCTCGCATGGAGTGGTCAAAGGAACTGGAACATTTCGCCAATAAGGATGTGATGAGCTGCATTCCCATGCCGCGTCCTTGCATGACATCCCCGAATTTTCCCAACATGGGCAGCATCTTTGAAGCCTATAGTTATTTGGGAAGAAAACAGGATAGTGTTAAAATTATAACAGACATAATCTTGAAATGGACGATCGAAGGTCGCTATGTGACCCCAAAGCAATCTCTCTTTTTGGCCGATAACAATGACCTAAAGTGAGTAGATCAGCGGTGAAATTTGAGTCTAAATGTGAATTTTTCCTAATTTTCTATAGATCTGTCTATCGAGCTGCACTCTTGATGTCCGAACGTAACACTCATATGGGATGTTCGGCGGTTCAACTTAAAAACCGGCGCGTCAGATATTTCTATTTAAGCTGCACCTTTGCTACCAAGAATATAATGGGAGTTCCCATTTATAGACCGGCTAAGACGCCGGGGGAAATGTGCCAAAAACGTGATGAAGTTTTCAACAATCTGTGTGCCATTGGCGAAAAGTATCTTGAAAACTCAAAATTAGTTAATTCGAGCAAGTACATAAAGTAAAATGCAATGATTAAAACCCTGCACTAATTACATTTAAGTTCTTATATTAAAGTTTTTTGTTAATCAGCATTGATATACTCTAAGCAAAAACATCACGTGCTGTATATAATCAATCAGCAGGTGACCAACACCTGATACCCTAGAGACGGTTAATGACAGTGGCAGGGAAAGCATAAAAACCGCAGTTGAAAAATCTTTAAAGCTCATTCAAAATGTGTCGGTTACAACTATTGTTGTTCACTTTGGTGCTCCTGAGTTCTGGCAGTGATGGCAGCTATCGTCACCTCCTGTTTCACTTGCATAAAGAACTTAACTTTGAGTTTGCCGTCTTGATGGGAAACCCTGATCCAATTTGGCACAAGATTTTATGGAATATGCCAGTTCCAATTATTCAGATTAATGAAGAGTCCATGGATAAGTACAATTTGGGATTTTATCATTCTAAGAACTTTGTAACCATAGTTTTCGTAAATGAATCTCCAAAAGAAATATTGGAGCTCCTTAACTTAAATCTAGGTTTGCTTAACACTCTGCCAGTGATTTTGGTTTTGGAAAAGGAGAATATACAAATGTATCCGCTTCTGGAATGGTGTTGGCATCATCAACAGCTCAATGTAATTGCCATAGGAAGGGATTTTGAGGTGAGATTTACTTACTTTCCTAAAATTTTATTTAATTTATTAAGATTTACTAAAGGATTCATTTAAATATGTAACCTATTTTCTTAAACTTCATTAACTTAAAAATTACACAACTGAAAACAATTAAGTTTTAGAATTTGTTTCTTAAATATTACTCATACGCCTAGGGGGCATGTTTTATATTTCCAGGACTCTCGGATTATCTACAGCTACTCACCCTTTCCCATATTTCAGTTAATTGAACGACGTTTGGAGAATAGAACACTGATTTTTAAGTCACGTTTAAAGGATCTCCAAGGTTATCCTGTGCCAATTGCCTTGGGTGGATCTTCGCCACGCCTAATTGTCTACCGTGGCTCAGAGGGTCAACTGATTTTTTCGGGTCCTGTGGGAAACTTGATGATGTGCTTCGAACAGCGTTACAATTGTAAATTAGAGCAGCCGTATCCCTTTGATGAGTCTTCAATTCAACCGGCTCGACAACTGATTGGAGCCGTGCGAAATGGCAGTGTGCAATTTGCTCTGGCAGCATATTATCCCCAGCGTCCGTTTTCTGGTTACACTTATCCCATTGAGCTGTTGAGCTGGTGTCTGATGATGCCAGTGCCATCGGAGGTTCCTCACAGCCAGTTTTATTCCATAGTATTCGATCCTCTGACATTTTGGCTAACTCTCTTCGTAATTGTGGTGATTTCCCTAACCTTATCTTTGGCCCTGCGACTACATGGTTATAGAGTTAGCTTGACGGAGCACTTTTTGCACAACACCTGCCTTAGGGGAGTTCTGGGTCAGCCCTTCTACGAGGTCCTGCGAACTCCTGCCCTGGTGCGAGGCATTTACATGGTCATATGTGTACTGGGCATCCTTATTACCGCTTGGTACAACTCCTATTTCTCCACATTTGTGACCAGTGCCCCAAAACTTCCGCCATTCACCAGCTACGAGAGCATAGAGCAGTCAAATGTCGAGGTTGTTATTTGGAAACCAGAATACGAGAAACTGATTCAAGAGTCCGAGAACATGAGGAAGTACTCCACCATTTTTAGAATTAAATCGGACTATCAGGAATTTCTGGAGCTTCGTGATTCCTTGGATAATAGATACGGATACATGATGCCATTGGAGAAGTGGTCACTGATCAAGGAGCAACAGAAGGTCTTCAGTTCACCGCTGTTTACCTTGCGGGAGGATCTCTGTGTCTTTCACACCGTTCCCATTGTATTTCCCATTGCGGAGAACTCGATATTCAAGGAGCCCCTCGATCGTCTCATCTTGGATGTGCAGGACACGGGTCTTTTGGCGCACTGGCGGGACATTGCCCTCACGGAAATGATCAAAGCTGGCCAACTGAAACTTGTCGATCTGAGCAGGCCAAAAGAGTTTCGGCCCATGAAACTGGAGGATTTGGAGCAGGTGTGGTTAGCTGGGGGAATAATGCTGGGACTGGCTACTTTGGTGTTTATCTGGGAGATCATTTGGTTTTGGCGATATAAGTTGCTAAAGATAATGACAGGAATTGTGTTGTTCAGAAATGTGTGAGGCAGAACCAATTAAAATTTTAAAATATCATTACTGAAACGTGTTTTATTTTCTGATTTAAAAATATATTACATCGAAATTTTTGTTTACTTTTCTATTGTAAATATTTTTCAATGAAAGTGTGTATTTTAATTTCCTATGCAGGGTATTATTATTCCAAAATTTGGTATTTAAATGTATTAAATTCGTAGCAATGTAATATATAGCTTCCTTGTAAACGATCAAGAAATTAATGGACTATAGTTGTAATTTTTTAATATAATATATATACTTTATAGTTCATTATTATTTATTTTGTTCTTTGCTCAACTGTGAAAAATAATTTATAATGCAAGCAGATTGCATCCAGTGTTAGATCGAAACTTTAAGCTTTTTGCAAGAGACCAGCTTATAAAGATGATATCATTTCTGCATTCTCTCCTCTCTCGCCTACAAGCCGAAGCATCTTCGCCTTCCATTATCAGAGATCGGCATCTCTCGAAACTTCTACCGCTGACCATTGCAAATCATTTCCTCACACGTCAGCGGCCAAAGCAGAGGTACCAAAAAAAAAAAATAGTAGATCAGTGAAAAAAAGTGAAAAACCTACGACGCAATAGCAAAGACAAGTGCCAAAAGTCAGTCGAATTAAAGTAAAGAAATAGTCAAGGGCAAGAACAGCCTGTGTTGTTAATTGTTGTATTGAGTTATAATTGGCTTTTTATTTGGCAAAGACAATGATTAAAGGTGTGCTATTACCTTACTAAAGAAGGGTGTTTGTTGTACACTAATTCACCGATGGCACCTACCTGTAGCAATGGGTGAGTGAAACAAAACTATTTTTTCTTGCTATTATCTTTCTCTTTCTATGCCTTTGCATTTTTCCCCTCTCCCCTCTCCCTTGCCCCTCCCCCTTGAATACCTAATCATTGCAATTTAGTTTCTCCCACATCAGCATCAAGCCAAAGAAATCAAAAAAAAGTGTAAATCTGTGAAATAAAGCTTAAAACTTACGACGCAATCAAAAAGACAGGTGCCAAAAGTGTGAGTGAAATAAAAGTGCAGTGAAGTGAAGTAAGGGCAAAGCCGATAACAGCCTCTGTTGGGTTTATTTTTTATTTTATTTTTTTTACAGTGCAAAGATCAAAGAGTGTTTTTTTACTAATTCTTTTTTATTTTTTGTTTTATTTTTTTATATGTGCAAATGAAAAAAGAAAGAGTATTAAGAAAAAGTGAAAAGTAAAAAGTGTTCTTTAAATAACCCCACAACAAAGGCCAGGCACCTGTCACGGTTTTTTTTTTACATTGCCAAAAAAGTGCATAATTTTTGACTAGTTAATATTGGATTACTTTATCTGGCAAAGACAATGTTTAAAAGTGTGATATACCCGAAATCAAGAAGAGTAGAAGAAGAAGAAGATCTGAAGCAGCAACTAATGTAAATGGGTGAGTGAAACAAAAGTATTTCTTTCTTGCTCATATATTTGTCTTTATATGCCTTTACAAACACATTTTTTCCCCCCTTTCTTGTCCCTTAATCTATATTTCTTATCAATCTGTAAAGTGGAACCTAAGAGCGGGAGAGCCATTTTAAGAATATGATCCACTCATGTGGCTGTTAATTTAAACTGTGGGAAAGGTGTAAAAGCTCTGATTACCTTCATTTTTTTCTTTGTGGGGTATATTCGGCAGGCCGATGTTTATCTTCTTTTATTTTTTCTATAAAATAATCTGGTGGAATTTAACTTGGTATCGAATATATTAATGTAACTCGGTCATTAAGGGACCTTTTTTAGCGTGAATTTCCCAACCATGTAAACATGTCGTCAAACCTGTCCAATTGAGGTTATTTCACTTGTTTTCCGCCGTATTCCCTTGGGAAATGTTTTTTGGATGTAATTTTTTATTTCTTTTTTTTGCCCAAGACTTGTTAACACGAGCCGCTAATTGGAATTAACCATTAGCGGCCACGTCGGCGGATTCATTAGCAACCCTTTAAATGTGCAGCGGCATCAATCAGTGTCATGCAGTTGTCCCTCGACCATCGTGATGGATTGCCCACAGTGGATCCTATTCGGGCTTTTGCTGATTAGACTTGGCAGTGCCTCGACGCTCATTGAATTGCTGGACAGGATTAGGCAGGAGTCGGATTTCGAATACGTGCTGCTCATGAGGAACAGGAATATGAGTGTATTGGATCAGGAGTGGAATAGCAGGACTTTGCCGCAGGACATGATGGATGAGGTGCAGGTTCCTATCCTCCAGCTGGACGATAGTGTTAGCTACTTTTTTCATAATTTCACAAACAATCGACTTATTTCGGTGGTGTTTATGCGGAATGCAAATCTAAATGAGCAGAAAAGTCTTCTTCAGGCTCTTGTGGCTAACCTTCGGCATATGACCACATCTCGAGTGATTTTTATTATACAAACGGAAGCTAGAAGTGGAGTGCTTTATGAATTGTTTAAAGACTGCTGGCGAATGAAACTTCTAAACGTTATTGTTTTGTTTGCAGATCATGAGGTTAGCTTTTCAATTATTAGTTCATCTTAATTTTGAATATAATTATTACTTTTTTTTATCAATGACAGACAACCAAAACTTTCTACAGCTACTCACATTTTCCAATTCTGCAAATCGAGGAGCGTATTTACAATGCTGAATTGCAATCTTCACCCATATTTCCCGATCGCCTGAAAAATTTCCATGGCTATGAGATGCCAGTGATTATTGGAGGCACTGCACCCAGAATGATAGCCTATTATAATAGGATGGGTCGAGTGGTTTACAAGGGCACAGTGGGTCACTTCATGATGGCCTTCCAGCAGAAATTCAACTGTAAACTTGTGCAGCCACTGAAATTCGCGAATCCCTTGGAATTTGCTCCCTCGATGCAAACGGTGGCAGCGGTGCGTAACGATTCCGTAGAGATGTCCATGTCACTGACTTTTCCGCCATTTCCTCCGTTTGGGTTTAGTTACCCGTACGAGCAGTTGAATTGGTGCATCATGATGCCAGTGGAGGCAGATGTGCCACCCTTGGAGTACTACACCAGGGTCTTTGAACTAAACGCATTTCTGTTGACATTGGGCGCCTTGGTGATCATTTCCGGCCTGCTGGCCAGCTCCTTGTGGCTTCATGGCTATCCAACGGCCATTAGTGATTTCCTGCTTCACGACAGCTGTCTGAGGGGAGTGCTTGGGCAATCCTTTGTGGAGGTTTTCCGAGCGCCCATACTTGTGAGGGGCATTTATTTGGAAATCTGCGTGCTGGGAATTCTAATCACTGCCTGGTACAACTCGTATTTCTCCAGCTACGTAACCACGGCGCCAAAGCAGCCTGCTTTTAGGAACTACGATGACGTCTTGGCCTCCACACTGAAGGTGGTGGCTTGGAAACCGGAGTATGCAGAACTTTTTGGTCGCCTTCTAGAGTTTCGCAAGTACGAACCCATGTTTCTGGTGGAGCCGGACTTTAGCAAATATCTTGCTCGTCGAGACACATTGGACACACGTTACGGGTATATGATTGCCAGTGGCCGGTGGGTGGTGATCAACGAGCAGCAGAAGGTATTTTCCCGTCCGCTTTTCCGGATGCGTGAAGATTTCTGCTTCTTCAACAATGTTCCCTTTGGATTTCCGCTGCATGAGAACTCGGTGTTTATGGAACCGATACTCCAGCTGATTATGGAGCTGGCCGAAACGGGATTGACTTACTACTGGCTGAAGAAGGTTTTTTCGGAGCTGATTGAGGCGGGAGAGATGCACTTTGTGGACCTGAGTCCGAGGAGGGAGTTCCGTGCCATGCAACTGCAGGATCTGGAGTATATTTGGTATGGTTTCGCCTTCATGGCCGTGTTGTCCTCGCTAGTTTGGATAATGGAGGTGATATTCTATAGGGTGAAGTCTTCTAAGGGTGTTTTTCCAATACGTTTAGTATACCACAAATAAAATGCGCCTTCAGGGACTTGAAGTCTAACATGAAAAAATAATTAAAATATATATTAAGACAATACACAAAGTACATGGACAAATGCAAATGGATCTCTCTCTTTCTCTCTTAAAAGAAAAACTATTTCCCACCGTGAGACAGTACACATTTTATGAGCCTGCAACTCTAGTTAAAGGTACTAAAGGTGAATCGAATTATTGTTAGTAGCCAAGGGTTTAACTTTTACGATCCACGTTAGTGCAGCTGCTGCCTGATGCTTATGGTTATTCGTGCAGCCATCAAATATTACTTTCCTTTCGTTTAGCTAACCCCACTCGAGGGGATCTGCACTTCCCGATTTTCATTGGGCAAATATTTGCACAGCAGCTAGTCGGCTCAAAGTTCAACATCAAAAGCAATTAAGACGCGTGCTGGCAGCTAAACACACTGAGCATAGAGCACTGAGCATAGAGCACACCGATCACTGAAATACCCGGGCTTGAGCTCCCCAAAGGTGCGCACTGATGTTAGCCACCTGTGCGACGGCAACTGGCGCCTCTTGAAATTCCCTAATCGACATGTTTCGATCTCAAACGACTTGGTTGGCCGCGGAGGCATCACCATCAGCAGTGCACAGAAAGAAAATATTATCGTAAAGTTTAATGGAATTTTAAGAATTTTTTCTGTAAAATTAATACTTATTTTCGATATTTTTTGGGGGGATATGAATGAGTTTCTATTGATATTTAAGCAGATGGGGACTATAGAATATGTTTATCTATGGATTGATTTATGTAGTTCCATTAAAAGACTTATTGCTTTATAACAAGTTGAAGAATATTATAATAAATTCTGAAAAGCCCAATACAATATCCACAATGATAATGATTCCAATAGATTTCAATACAGATTCACAAGAATATAGCCTTCATTTCTTGTTGTGATTTATAAACAGAATATCCTTGGGTACTTACGCTTGCAATGCTTAGCAATCAGCTTAAAAATCTTCAAAAATTAGTAACAAATTTTCCCAGTGCTGAAGTCGTGTTGCAGCTATCGTGAAGTGAAAAATTTTCTCTAATCTGCGCTGATGGCACGCATTTGTAACCCCCGCCAAACGATGTCGGCAGTCTGGGGCCGGGTACTTTGATTTTGACTGACAAGTGCCGCCTGCCTCCCTGTTGCTGCTGCTGTGTTGCTGCTGCTGTGTTGCAGCAACTGTTGCTGCTGCTGCTGTTGACATGCGCAGCTGCATGCGCTTTCATGTGCACTCAGCTCCTTTATTGGAGAAAATTATTTCAGGCCTCGGTTCAGAGCCAGGCTCCGTAACGAGCTAAAACTAATTAACCCACGACAGACCCAAAGAGCACGGCACATGGGGTGCATCTTAATTGTCAATAAAACGTTTTAGATTTCTTTATTTTAATGCTTGCAATACTAAAAAAATTAATGCAAAACTTAACCGCAGATGGGATGTGTGTGTGTATGTGTGTGTGTGAGGCTTTCGCTCTGGTGTGTGTGTGTGTGTGTGTGTGTGCATAAATAATAACTAACAAAGATTTAACTAAGATTTCAATGTGTGGCTTAGCCTAGGCTTGGATATAAACAAAGGAGCGCTCTCTATGTACATACATAAACTATTTAGTTCAATAAATTAGCAGAAATACTCGTATTGCAAAGTGTACACAGTTTATAACAAATCGTTAAAACGTTACATAACCCAAACACCATTGAAGATATTTTTGCGTAATCTTAATCTATTGTCCATTAAAAACTATCACAAAATAATTGGCAGTTTAATTAACCATTAACTACAGCTGTTTTATTAATAAGCTTAGCCTAGTTGGGGGAAATGTGTGTGTGTTATCTTTAATAATAGCGAATTCGCTTTCTGTTTATCAAATACAAAAATACAAAAATAATGGCAAGTGCAAGTTGAGTTGCATTCCGGTTAACAACTGCTGAACATTGGAGTTTTGGAGAGTTTTCGAGCTTGAACAAAAGATACTATATACTAATAGAGTAATGCTAGTGCCCCCATCTGAATGCCCTCGAAGTTGGCTAACACTCGGCCCAAGAGATCAGAGAGATCCTTGAAGGAGAAAGGAGCGGGGAATTGCTGTAGGATTAGCTCCGAATTGGTGCCTCGGGTCAGTGTTTGTGTTCCTCCCTCAAAAACTATTTGGCATTCCCCTTGCTGGCTTTTTGTTTGTATTTATTTATTTATTTTGTAGTAAAAACCTATATTTACTCGTATATTTATATACATTAACACTAGCAAAACAAATTTATGCTAATTTGGGCAGAGCAACTAAGAAAAACAAATACTTTCAATTTACAGGAAACACGCATCGTGCTGGGCTAGCTAAAGACTGTAAAGAACTGCAGGTGTGATTAGAAGGATCAGGGATCGTATTATATATTGTTTTTTCTGTTTAGCAAGGAAGCGTTTGGCCTCATTTTGATATCACCACTCGTGGAATTGCTTCGTTAGCTTCATTACACTTCTATTTCTAAACGCCTAGCATATTACATATTTTTAGTTTAACTTTAGTAGCATAATTAAAATCTTCAGAATTTGGCACATTTAAATTTAATTAGTTTTTGTGTAAATGTACATTACGTTCAGTATTCAGTATTCAGTATTCAGTATTGTATTTGGAAGTGCTTCAAGAGAGAGTGTGCATCTTTCTGTCTGTCTGTGTGTGTTTTGGGCATAGGAATCGCACAGAGAGCTGAAGTAGGAATTCATCAATGACATAAATTCGAGTCGGGAGTATTTGGGCATTTAAGTATTTAACAGTTTAGGTAGTTACATGTAGGACATCTTCGATTTCGCTTTCGATTTGTGTTTATGTATTTTGTGAGTAAGGAACAAGAAATATAGTAGTTTAGCCGGGGGAATCGCACTCCCCTTGCCCTGGACACTACCGATTGCTGAGCAATCCGTTGGCCGGTGGCAATACTCCGGGCGGTGTGTTGGGATTACTGATCATTACGGGCAACGAAGGTTGCACCACTCCACCGCCGCCCAATTGTCGCGGATTGAGAGCAGCTGCCGCTGCTGCAGCCGCCGCCGCTGCAGCTGCTGCTTGTGCTGCTGCCGCCGAGGAGGAGGAGGAACCACTGGAACGCTGGTGTTTTCCGGAACTCCCTTTGATCAGGTTTCCATTATTCTTCTGGGTCATGTGCGTCTGATAGTGCTTGGCCAGATGGGCCTTCTGCCGGAAGCTCTTGCCACACAGGGAGCAAGCGAAGGGTTTCTCGCCGGTATGCGTCCTTATGTGCACATTCACCGAATACTTGTCCTTGAATCCCTTCGAGCAGATGGAGCAATAGTGAAGGGAGCGCTCTTTGCGCTGCCCACTGCCGCCGGAGGAAGAGGATGAACTGCCTCCCGAGTTGGCCGGCGGACTGTTGCTGCTGCTGCTGGCACTGCCGCTGGAGGAGGAGCTGCCGTTGCTGCCAGTGGCACCTATAACCGGTCCCAAGGGATTAGAGCTGTTCGCACTGCTATTATTATTGGCCACACTGGGATTGTTGTTGTTGCCGCTGCTGCTTCGCTTGTACTGCTTCTTGGGCTTGCTTACTCCTCCGCCGCTGCTGCTGGACTTGGACACACCCACCGACGAGGAGGGCGAAGTGGAGGTGCTGACCTCTGGCTTCAGGGGCTGCGGTGGCTGCAGCTGACCCGTCACATTGCTCGCCGGACTGGGGGAGATCTGCATCAGAACGTCGCCAGCGGAGGGACCGTAATCCCCCGGAGTGGGTGTGCTGCAGAACTGTTGCACCTCATTGGCAATGCGCTTGATCTTCTCGAAATCATCGCTGAAGGCGTTCTCCAGAGATAGGAACATGTCGTCCACCAAAATGTTGGCACTGCCATTATGCTGCTGCTGCTGCTGGTTTTGTTGATGCTGCTGGGAGCTGAGATGGATGCCCTGGGCCTCGTCAAAGATTTGGGCGGCACTCAGGGTGGAGTCTGCGAAACCGAGGGCAGCAGCCTCGTCGGCAAAGAGCAGGCGACGCATGTCCTCGTCCTTTACAACGGGCATTGTCAGACCATTTTGCATATGCAGTCCTTTGGCGTATCCTTTGCCCTGAAGCGCACTTCGCAGCAGGGATTCCGCCGTACTCTGCTCCGTGTCCGTATTGTGATCCGCCATGTGCCAGTCGTTGTTATTGTTTTGGAACTGGGCCAATTGCTGGCCCAGATCATTGCCACCTGCCAGCGAGATGGCTGTGACCAACGATGGCAGAGCCTGAGGCGTCTGTTGTCCCTGGTTCTGGCTCTGGTTTAGGCCACTGCCATCAGCTCCACTCCCAATCACATCCTTGCCATCCGTGCTGAAGCCGCTGTCGTCGTAGGGATATTCCGATTTGATGTAGCCCGGAAAGCTGCTCAGCAGACTGTCCAGGTCCAACGAGCTGGGCAGTTGCTCCGCCTCGGAGCGCTTTAGCCAGGGCTCGCCGCCGTTTAATACTGTCAGGGTGTAGATCTGTCCATCGGTGGTGTCCAGGCTGCTAATGGTATCGCTGCTGCTGCCCGCACCGCTTGAGGCTCCCGAGGAGCTGTTTGCATTCGGTTGCTGCTGTTGCTGCTGCTGTTGTTGATGCAACTGCGGGTGTTGCTGCTGCTGCTGCTGTTGTTGCTGGAGGTGGGACTGCGGCGAGGTGGGACTGGGTTGGTTGGTGGTGTTGGAGCCACCATTACTGGCACTGGCAGTGACAGGTTGCTGCTGCCAGCAGTAGCGATCGAGGTCCTCGAAAATTGAGCTAGAGTCGAGGCGGTTGCTGTCCTTGTCCTGGTGCCAAAACTGAAAGGGGAATTAAGAGAAGAAGGGATGCGTTAGAAAGTGGATTGAGATAATGTTTCATTAGCATTTGGGCTTGTAATTTCATCTAGAAAAACTTAATATAGAAAATATCTCAAAGAAAAACTTACCTCGTAGCCCTGTAACGTGGGATCTCCGTTGTTGCTGCTGCCGTTGCGGTTGCCCACGGGCACCACGACGCCGCCACCATTTGCTCCGGCGCCAGGTCCCCCTCCTCCGTCGTGGATCATGCTGCTGGTGGTTCTCGCACCACCGCCGCCGCAGAGGCTCTGCTGCTGGGACTGCGGATTGCCTGACTGATGCACCACCTGAACATGATTGCTGTTGTGGCTGTTGTGACTGTGTGGCGCCTGCTGGTGGTTCTGATGGTTCTGATGGCTCTGGTGGTGCTGGTGCTGCTGTTGCTGTTGATGCTGCTGGTGAAGTGTGACGCCCAGGGCTTCAACTCCAACACCCACGCCCACTCCTATGCCAATGCCCATATCCGGGCCGGTAACAAAATCAAAGAAGTCCGCCTTCGAGAGATCCTCGGCACGAAAGGACTCACTGATGTCCATGCCAGTCGATGCGGACATATCCTCGGTGCCGATCATTTGCTGAGCCTGAAGCGCCAGAGTAGCGCCTTAAAAAACCAGTTGCTGGTTGAATTTGAAGTTTTAATAAGCTGTAAAGGAAAACAAAAGTTAGGGGATTAGTTTTTTATCTTGTATAATATACCATTATCTTATAGATCCTTTTGATTTTTATTTAAAAAAAGATTATCTCCTTTGTGACTCTGCTCTAATTTCCCTTTTAGATTCCCTTTCGATTTCTAAATTTCTCTAAACACACACTCGAGTGCTTGCATTAAAAGTCCCACCAATTGATTAAAGCCACTTGTCAGTTGGCCACTTAAGTCAATCAGTCATTCGCATTCGCATTTGGATTCGGATTCGGATTCGGATTGGCTCATTCTAGCCACATGGACCGAGCCTGCATTCCGGCCATACTTGCATTTTAATTTGAGCCGGCCGGCCGGCTATCTGCAAATAAATAAATCAAACTGACAGAAGGGTGACAAAGTGTAAACACATTTGGCGTGCTCGACTCGTAAATCTCGCAGACTTTGGCTAATGCCAAACTCAGCCTCAACCTGTCGCAGTGACAGTTTTTTTTCCCCCCCATCTATTTGTATTTGGCCAGCAAACACTTTTTTGTCTTGGCTTGTTTCATTTGCATAGATTCGGCAAGTGCTCGGCATTTAGAATAGTTGCAAAAAAGCAAATAAAAAGTGTGTGTGGCTACTGTATAAACCAATATTGAGTGAACAAACCTACGAGAGGTGCACTGGAAGAAAAAAGACAGAACTAAAGAACATGAATGGTACCTTAACTCTTATTTTTCTATAAGCATTAAGCCTTGTTTAATGTCTTAAATAGTGTTGATTATTTTGATAAAAATGAACTATAAACTCTTTCGGTTCAGTGTAAGACTCTAACCCAAAGGTGATCGAACTGACAGGCCCCAACTGCCATTTCAGTTAGTGTATCGATATCTGTATTGGTATCGCCAAACTGCCCGCTAACGTACCCCCGAGTCGTGTTCTGGCGAATGTGCCAAATGTTCAAATTGTCAAATTGATTCTACTCCTTTTTTTTGCTCCCCTGACACTGACACCGACATCGAAACCGACTCCGACTCCAACTTCGACTCTGACTCCGATCCAAGTCGCTTATGTAGTACGTAGTATATATGCATGAAAAATGGACCTTATGTGGCGTGGCAGCGTGAGAACCACAAACAGAAATGACTTAACAAATTTGCATTGCTCAGTGGCGAAGCTGGGGCTTGCATACTTTAGATAAGGGCAAAGCGTAGAGAAAATGCCGCTGCTGGAAAATATTTTAGATGCTGCTGCTGCTGCTGCTAGAAGCTCTTAAGTGCAGCGGTATCTGTGGGGAAATCTAGCTGACAGAGGATCGGGGCTCTGGAAATAAAAGAAATAGCTCTGACGGAGGCAGCCTCAACACCTGATCAAAGGAGGAAGAAAAAAGGCCACAGCAAGTGCGCAGACCAGTTAACATTTTAAAGGTGAGCTCGTTTCCAGATCGCAGTCTTTGGCCTCACTTTTATCGCTACTCCATCGCCTTGGAAATTTCTCCCAAAAAAAAGGCAAGAGAAAAACTCTGCGAAACTCTGCGTAATCGGTTGTGGTCATTTGCCTGCCGTCTGAAAGCCTAGTAGTTTATTTAATAATCATGTTTAAAATGCAGAAATTACTTTATATATACTTTATGGCCAGCAGCGGGGAAAAGCGACGCGGCGCCGACAGAACGGAGCAAAAAATATATAAAATAATAAGCCTTTGTTTGAGCATTTTGGCGCTCAAATATTGACTAATTTGAGCACGATTATTGTGATTTGGATGCGGGGCCGACGAGTCGGTAAAGAAAGTTGGCCAGTTGGAGAGACGTGCTCATATAACTGGCGGCCAGCCAATCATGAACGTGGATGCAGTGCCCCTTGCACATGCATCTTTCCATCTTTCGGGGCCGCAATGAAGATGCATGCGAATTCGAATACAAATGGCAGTATTCCCCTCCGATCCTGGATGCTGCATGGTAATCGCAATCGTAATCGTAGAAATTGTTAGCGCATTTTGGCCAATGCAAACAGCCCGAGGCGGCATCATTTAAAAAAACATGATAGCATGATGGGTTTTATGTTGCGGCCTCCTCGATTATGGGCCATAAATAATAGCGTTCCAATAATTCGAATGTTTTTAATTAAGCTCGCTCTCTGGCATATTTATTTACACAGAAAGACAGACAGGCAGGCAGGCAGGCAGTCAGCGATGATGATTTATTCCCGTATGCAAAATTTGCGGCAGACAAAGGAAAAAATAGTTAGGAAATATGTATGTGGAAAAATGTGGCAATTTTCGGCACAATTTCTTTGGTCTGGCCCGGGCATAATGATTAGCGTCCCCCCATGAGCATCATCGTCTTTTGTTGCGGGCGTCAAATGCAAAAATAATACATAGAAAATTGGGTGTGGGGGGGGGGGGAGGGAAAATACTCGTTGGAAAACTGCATAGTGGCGGTAGTCGTCGTCTGAGATTAGTTTATGTGCAGGAATTTTTATATTGCGGTTACACAATTTTCTTCTTCATCCTCCTGCAGCTGGAAAATCGATGAAAATCACACGCTTTGGCTTCTTCTTTTTTTTTGAGCTCTTTCTGGCTGGCTTGTCGCTTTGCTTTGCACGATTTTCCACGCATATTTAACCCAAATACCGCGCTAAACGATTTTTTAATGTCTTCACTAACAAGTTTCAATTACCAATCGTCAAATGCGTGCGCATAAAAACAGAAACCAGTTGCACTTAGCCCAAACCACCGAGTTATATCTATAGATATATGTTTATAGAGCGACTTATAAGCACCCCCTCTATCGCGGACTCAATCAATTAAAATAATTCCCCCCGGCTTGCGGTGAGATTTCATAAAAGAAGACAATGTGGCTGAGGGGGGAAAAACCGGTAAGGTAAACTGAGCCAACTTGAGTTGGTTCACGTACCAACGCAATCAAATTGCACTTCGATTGGCCAAAATGGAGCCATCAGTGGTGGAAAGCGGCGGCGACTCTTCGGTTCGTAATCACATTTATTGAGATAAACGATGGGGCGTTCCGTTTTGGCTTCGTTCCGCATTGCGTATACGCAGTGTGTGCCTGAACACAATGTGATAATTGTTCATGAAAATGGGTTAATCATGTTCGCGGTTCGATCAAACCAGTTGCAGCATACTTTTGGGGAGCCACAGGCAATCTGTAATGTACTTGTGCTGCCGATGTTAATAGCAAAAAATTGTGAAATTTTTCACCAACGCATAAATTACGAAAGCCATACGAAAAGCGCTCGTAAAACGCATCAAAAACGCACGGGAGCTTGCTGCTGCATGAAGCAGCTGCCATTTACAAGTTGCCTCAACTTTTCCGCTCTCCGATCTGCAAATTGTCATCGTTAGCATAGTGCCACGAGGCAGTCGATCATTTCTCAGCCAAAAACTAGATAATTATCGCCCACCAGAGGCACAGCCGGCCCCCAAAAGCGAGTTAACCGGATGTTGACCAATTGACCAATAGCTCAGCGGCTGATAAGACATGTGGCAGTTGCAGTTGCAGTTGCCAATTGCTGTTTGCCAATTGCAGCTGCAAAGATGCCGCTAGTGGTCCACAGATCATGGCTCAATTGCATGCAAATGCATAATTGAATCAAATGCTCCTCTCCCGGTCGCAGCAACTTTCCAACCCGAACCCGAATCCAAGTCCGAGTCCGAGTCCAAGTCGAAGTCTGTGTCCAAGTCCAAACCCCGCCTAATGAAGTAATCAACGGCCGGCATCTCCGGCTTTTTTTTTGCTGCCATTGTCAATCAAAAGTCGCGTTTTTATTGCGCCTGCCTTACAAACCAAATCGCATCAAGATGTATTAATCATTTTGGCCGCGGTCTGCGTTGGCGGCAACAGCAGCAGCAGCAACAGCAGCAGCAGCAGCAGCAGCAGCAGCAGCAGCAGCAGCAGCAGCAGCAGCAGCAACAACAGCAGCAGCAATGGCAGAGGCAACCGACAACAGTTAGCAACAACAGCAACTTGTTGCATGGGGAAAAAATGTCTATTCAAGTTAATAAAATCTCTAATTATTTAATGATTTATTTCCTTGTGGAAATTGTATCAATTTTGCACTATTTTGAAATACTTTTCCCTTAAATAATGCTTTATATTTTGCAGTAATTCTTGTTTCTAATCATTATATCCTATAAGATTCCCATCTCTCAAGTTTTCTTGCCGTGTAGCAAAGCAACAAGCAACCGGCAATGCCATTGCTTTATCAGTTGGCGCAGATCTCTTTGGCGTATAAGCAGAAGAAAAAAAAGAGAAACAAACGCCAAATAACTACAGGCGAGACGGGCATGATTAAAATGCGCAAAAATGGCAAACTCCAAATGGGCGCTGCTCAGCTGCGGCAGTAACCACTACAACAACGGCGTGTGATGTACACGCGGCGCATTTCAATTCCATTTGATTAATGACAAAGCCGTAAAAGCAACTGCAACATTGCAGGATGGGGGCAAGCAGCTAACGAAGATGTTGCTGATTGGCTCAGCCTTCCGTTGCCTGTGTGCCACAGCCTGTGCCAGTGCCATTCCTGTTGTCAACTGTCGGATGCTGCTGCTGCTGCTGCCTCTGCCCCACAGATTTTTCCTTTATGCCACGACCATAAACATTATGCGAACATTAGGCCAAGCGACAGCTCATAAAGCAATCAGAGCCCGGTCATCAATAGGGTATGCAAATATTGCTTTAAATGCTAATGGACAAGTGCAATTGCAGTTTGCAAATTTGGTAAAGAAAGTGTTGCCACCCACGCTGCAAATCTGCATAAATACTTTTCAGGCCAAGTGCCTAACGGCCTTGTATTTGTGCAGTGAAAGAAAAGCCTTTAAGGAATTTCTGTTCACAAAATGATGACACAATTTCCTTTCGGTAACGTGTGGGTGTTGGATGCTGCTCCTGCAAACTGTTGCTCCCGCTGATGATGTTGCTGTCGTGCCAAGGCAACATGGCACAATAAATTTCAAATTTGCTATGAAACTTGTATCAGAAC